AATTGTTATTTTGACTAGATTTCTGAGCTCGGCATCTATCCTGCTGTCGATCCACTTGATTCAACGTCTCGTATGCTTTCCCCCCACATCTTGGGAGAAGAACATTATAACACAGCCCGTGGTGTACAAAAAGTTCTTCAGAACTACAAGAATCTTCAAGATATTATTGCCATTCTTGGAATGGATGAGCTCAGTGAAGATGACAAATTGACTGTTGCACGTGCTAGGAAAATTCAACGGTTCTTGAGCCAGCCTTTCCATGTTGCAGAAGTTTTCACGGGTGCCCCTGGCAAATATGTTGAGTTGAAGGAGAGCATTAACAGCTTTCAGGTATTAAAAGTTTATCTGCAGCATATGTTCTTTCCTGTTCTATATTTTTTGTTATCCTTGTATTATCATCTGGCTCCAAAGGTATCAACGTGATATTATTAGTTAAGTAAATGTACTACATATTATGCAAGCAGAAAAAGGATATGGTGGAATGACTTCTTACACTATCTTATACCGATCTAGATGTTCTGAAATGAAATGTTGCTCCTATTTTTCTACAATAACACGTCCGTTGTTTTGAGATAGTTGATTTAATCCCTTAGGAAGGATTTTAGAAATTATTCCATCCAATTTTCACCACCTTTATTTATTGTGAAATTTTGTCATCAATTGTGATGCTGATTCTTTTGTTAATTGTGTTAAACAGGGAGTCTTGGATGGAAAATACGATGACCTTGCAGAGCAGTCATTTTACATGGTTGGAGGAATAGAAGAGGTCATTGCCAAGGCAGAGAAGATTGCCAAGGAATCCGCTGCCTAGATAGATCAAAATTTTCATGAATTCATCATGTTACGGATATTTGCAAATAATTTAATTTTTGGCAATGCCAATATCTTGAGTTTTAATTTTTGTTTCCAAAATTTCTGTTTGAGTTTTACTTCAACAACGGGATTGTGATACGGAGTGGAGTTGAGAGCCTCCCTGATAATCCCTTGTGAAATAAGAAGTGGGTTAAGACGACAAACTTGTATATCCTTTTTTTCCGTCGAATTTATATCATATTGGATTTTTCTATAATCCATTTTAACTTGTTCCTAGTTTTCATTCAGCACAATTTTTGTTGAGAACAAATTTCTGGAACCACCGTGCATCGCGAGTGGCTGTGACTGGACGAGACTGATGCTGTGCGCTATGCCTGTTACCGTGAGAGGGGTTTGTCTAATCTTTTAAGAATTCGTTAATACTATGCTTAATTTCTAATCTATAATAATTCTACAAAAATGAGAATAACTAAACAATGGTCCCGCTTCAAGAAATGCAACTATGGAAACATCTGGAATTAACCATCTGTTACTTTGTCCACATGTCCGTCAAACATTTGTTGTAGCTTGGAGTGAGTTGGTAGTTACAGTTAATTAGTTTCTTGATGTAATTCATCTTCTATTTATACATAATTGAATGTAATGTACAGACAGAAGATTCTGGAGTAATAGAATTCATTTTTCTCTTTTCTCCATTCAATTTTCCAATATGGTATTAGAGCACTAACTGCTTCTACTGCCAACATTTCTTTTGAAATTTAACTGTCTTGGTTGATTCAATTGTTTCAATTTCTTTCTCTGGTTGATATGGCATCAACAACCAATGCAACCAATAATTCACTATCATCATTGAATAATTCCAGTAATGATAATGCATCTAGTCCTTACTACATTCATCACTCAGACAATCCAGGGCTTGTACTTGTGTCACAACCTCTCAATGGTGATAACTATGCTTCATAGAGCAGAGCTATGGTGATTGCCCTATTCGTGAAGAACAAACTCAGATTTATAGATGGGTCATTGGCGAAACCTGAAGACAATGACGAATAACTCGATAATTGGGTCCGCAACAATAATATGGTCATCTCATGGATACTCAATTCAGTATCGAAAGAGGCGGCAAGTGTTATCTACTCCGAATCAATACGTGATATGTGGATTGATCTGAAGGAAAGATTTCGACAGAGAAACGGACCTCGAATTTTCCAGCTAAGACATGAACTGATGAATCTCAATCAAGGCCAGATGTCGGTTGGTGTGTATTTCACCAAATTGAAGACACTGTGGGAAGAACTAAGCAATTACAGACCAATATGCTCATGTGGAAAGTGTGTCCGTGGTGGATCCAAGAAGCTCTCTGAACATTATCAGATGGAATATGTCATGTCATTTTTAATGGGGTTGAATGATACTTATGCTCAAGTTTGGAGGCAGCTGCTACTGATGGATCCCATACCTTTCATCAATAAAGTTTTCTCACTTGTTTCTCAGGAGGAACACCAAAGGAGTGTCAACACCAGTACCAGTAATCCTGCCACTGAAGACTCTATAGCGTTCTACACCAAAATCGATCCTAAAAAGGGTGGTTCAAGACAAATGCACAACAAATTTCAAAGGAAGGAAAGACCCATGTGTACATATTGTGGAATAGCGGGACATTCAGTGGATAAATGTTATAAATTACACGGCTATCCTCCAGGTTATAAGATGAAGCAAAAATTCAATGATCAAGTGGGAAACCAATCAAGACAAGTTGTTGTGAATCAAGTAACATCTGAATCCAATTCAGAACAACTAAGAATACTGTAGGAGACTTCATGCAGTTCTTAAACCAAACTCAATATCAGCAACTGTTGAGTAGGTTGCGCAATCATGTGGCCTCGGCACTTGACACATGGTTAAAGTCACCTAAGCACTGTATATTGGATTTTGGGGCAACAAGTCATATCTGCTTCAGTAAATCAGCCTTTCATACTATGAAACCAGTTAAAAATGCTCATGTCACTTTGCCAAATCATAAGCGAATCTCTGTTAAGTTCATTGGGACTGTAAAGTTTAGTCATGACCTGTTACTTGAAGATGTGTTATAAGTACCAACATTTAAATTCAATTTAATGTCCATCAGTTCATTGACCAGGGACGCTCACATTGATGTTAGATTCTCCACTAATACTTGTGTTATCCAAGATATGCGCCACCAGAAGATGATTGACATGGCTAAGCAAGTTGCCTTTCTATACATATTAAGTGCATCATCTTCCTCACAAGTCAATGAAGGGAATCTTTCTTGTAATGATGTTTGTGTTTCTTTTTCATCAGCTGTAAATAAAGTGAATGCACATACTTGGCATCACAGGTTAGGACATTTGTCATTCCAGAAAGTAGCATTGTTAAAAGATCAATTGCATTTGACTAGTGATAAGGAAAGTAACTACAATTCAGCTCCATGTACTATCTGTCCATTGGCAAAACAAAGAAGAATCTCCTTCATGTCAAACACTCACTTGTCCGTCAATGCTTTTGACTTGATACATTGTGATACATGGGGTCCTTACCATGTACCATCTCATTCTAGAAATAAGTATTTTCTTACCTTGGTAGATAATTGTACGCGTTTTACTTGGGTTTACCTCATGAAACATAAATCGAAGGCTTGTCACATCATTCCCAGATTTTTTAAGTTGATTGAAACTCAATTTGAAACAACTATAAAGAAATTCAGATCAGATAACACCCCAGAATTGAAGTTTACTGAGTTCTTTCACTCTAAAGGAGTCATCCATCAATTTTCTTGTGTCGAAAGGCCTGAGCAAAAGTCAGTAGTTGAGCGTAAACACCAACATTTGCTCAATGTGGCTATATCTTTATTTTTCCAGGCAAATATTCTTATTCAATTTTGGAGTGACTGTATCTTAATTGCAACCTTTCTCACCGTCCCCCATTTTGCAAAATCAAAGTCCTTTTTCCCTATTATACAGATCTCCTGCTAATTACCATCAATTTAGAGTGTTTGGTAGTCTATGTTTTGCATCCACTCTTCTTTCTAGTCGAACAAAATTTCATCCTCGAGCAAAAGCCTGTATATTTGTAGGATATCCTCGTGGCATCAAGGGATATAAAGTGTATGACATTTTGTCCGAAAATTTCTTCATTTCTAGAGACGTGATCTTCCATGAATGCATCTTTCCCTTTCAATCTATCTTTCATTCTCCTGACATGATCGATCCCTTTCCTGACCTTGTGATGCCGATTCCTAATTCTGATATTGTTTCTACTCCTACACGAATGCATATGCCAGAATCTATTAATCATGATGAACAAATTAATGCTACAAGCAACAAAGACGAGATACAAAATGTCTCATATTCCACTCCTAGTTGTCCTTGCTCACAAAATGCTTCTAGAAAATCATCTCGAATCAGTAGGCCTCCATCATATCTTATAGATTTCCATTGCAATCTTCTAACCAACAACACACAATCCCTTGCCCTTTCACCTTACTCTTTATCAAAATACCTCTCCTATAAGGCCTTTTTCTCCTAATCATCGTCATTTTCTCCTAAATATCTCATCCAACTATGAACCTGAATATTACCACTAGGCAGTTAAATATGATCATTGGCGGGTTGCAATGTTAGTTGAACTGAAAGCAATGGAAATGACAAATACCTGGTCTGTCACACCACTACCTGATGGAAAACACACAATTGGTTGTAGATGGATTTATAAAATCAAATATAAATATGATGGGAGCATAGATAGGTACAAAGCATGCTTAGTTGTATACCCAGCAAGAGGGTCTGGACTTAGACTTTTTCCCAATTGCCAAACTCACTACAGTCCAGGTTCTTTTAGCTATTGTAGCCATAAAGAATTGGCGCATCACTCAACTTGATGTTAACAACGCTTTTCTCAATGGAGACTTATTTGAGGAAATCTATATGGACTTACTGTTGGGCTATAGGAACTTTGCTGGTTCCAGAATTTAGCGGGAGAATATGGTTTGTAAACTTCACAAATCCATTTATGGTCTTAAACAGGCATTGAGGCAGTTGCTCTCTAAATTTTCCAATGCTCTTATTGCTCATGGATTCACACAGTCCAAATCAGATTATTCACTTTTCACCAAAGGTTCTGGTAACTCCTTCATTGCTCTCTTGGTCTATGTAGATGACATCCTCATCACTGGATGTAATCAGCTGGAAATCACTTCCTTTAAAAGTCTCTTACATTCTCAATTCAAATTAAAAGATCTTGGCAATCTGAAGTACTTTCTTGGGCTGGAAATTACACATTCTAAAAATGGTATTTTTTTTTATCACAAAAAAATATGCTCTACAGTTGCTTGAGGACTCTAGATTTTTAGCATGTAAACCAGCTATGTTACCTATGGATCCAAAATTAAAACTCAGTTCTTTGGAAGGTGATCTTGTTCTTGATACTTCTATGTATCGCAAATTGATCGATCGTCTTCTCTACCTCACTATATCTAGGCCAGATATCACCTATGCTGTCCACAAGTTAAGCCAATTTGTGTCTCGGCCCAGGAAGCCTCATCTGGATGCAGCTCATCACCTTTTGCAGTACGTCAAGGCAAGTCCTGGTCAAGGAATTTCGTTCTTGGCCCATTCTTCCTTTCAACTGCGTGCATTTACTGATGTGGACTGGGGCGCTTGTCTTGATACGAGGAAGTCTATCACTGGTTTTTGCATATTCCGTGGTGATTATATGATTTCTTGGAAAGCTAAGAAGCAGACTAAAGTTTCTAAATCCTCAGCCGAAGCTGAGCATCGTGCTTTAGCCTCGGCCACTAGTGAATTGGTTTGGATTTCTCAATTACGTCTTGATTTTTAGATTACCAAAAAGGATCATACTGTCATGTTCTGTGATAATCTTGCAGCAATTCACATTGCCTCAAATCCCATTTTTCATGAGCGAACTAAACACATTGAGATTGATTGTCATTTTGTGCTGGATAAGGTGGCAGATGGTTCTATCAAATTATTATCGGTTTGTTCCAATCATTAGTTGGCTAATATTTTTACAAAAGCCTTGCCTGCTCCTTCATTGTTTTCACTCTTGTCCGAGATGATTGTGGTCAATCCCCACATTCCATCTTGATGAGGAGTAACAGAATCAAGACACGCAAAAAATGCAACTATGGAAACAGCTGGAATATAACCAACTATATGCTACTTTGTCCACGTGTCCATCAAACATTTGTTGTAGCTTGGAGTTAGTTAGTTGGTAGTTACAGTTAGTTAGTTTCTTGATGAAATTCAACTTCTATATATACATAACTGAATGTAATGCACAGTGGAAGATTCTGGAGTAATAGAATTCATTTTTTTTCTTTTCTCCATTCAATTTTCCAATAAATGCTACGTGGAAGGTTATAGCAGGTAATGTAACTCACAGCGCATTTTAACACTTGTCACCGAATGAAAACTCATCTTCCGCGTACCCTTTGTGGTGGCGCTTTCTAGTCCGATAATCCTTCTCTAAGACCAACTCAAACTAATAAAAAACCCTCCAAAATGTCTGTTATTACACATTCGCCAGTTCCAACCTCACCACACCAAATCATTCCTACCCCCACCGATGACCCTCTCCAAACTCAAACCTCTCTGCTAACACCTCCGCCGCCGTTGCCTCACTGTATCCGCCACTGCCATACGCCAAGACACCACTCTCTGGACCCATGCCCAGTAGTTAGAAGTCTTCCCAGCTCCTTAATCCATAACTTATTTGCCACATCTTCTTCAGGAAGTAATAAAAGAGGATAAAATAGTTGTGTTATGTTCTTATCGAAAAAAAAAGAGTACGGTGCATACGTTTGTAATCTTGAGTTGAAGAGGGCAACATAAGAGAATTCTGGTGGGTCTGTGAATTTAGAGGTTGCATTGTTGTATTATTGGAATTGCCTCACGCGTTCATTCATTCATTTTCAGCTGCTGAGACTCAATTAGCTCAGTTTAGAGCTACAAAACAAAACCAATATTTGCTACAACTTTCAATGGGTAGGTAAAGGTTGCATTCTAAGTTAACCAATTTTGGTGAGTCCTATTTGATGATGGTAGAATTTGATCAACTAATCTTATAAATCTATTTCATGGAAAGGAAAATCTGCAATTTTACGTCCCATGAACTCAGAATCGAAGGGTGCATTTCGCTTACCATCTTCTCTTGGTTATGCTGCATTCTTAATTTCACATATTTTTGTTTGATAATTATTTTTCCTCTCTCGAAAAATGTTTCTACTACTGGATTTTATTGTTAACTGTCCTAAAGGGTAAATTAATATTCTACATTCTAAAAGAGTGGCTAGTTATTGTTTATGGAATTGTCTGGATGAACAAACTAGATCTTTGCTCGCTTTACCATTTCTGCTCATTCGGAATGGGCAAAGTTTTTAGTTCACATCATATGAGATATAGCCCCCTTCCTCGTGGGGGTGGGCTGAAAGAACTCATCTTCCTCTTATTTAACATCATTAACAAATTTCCCTCTTCTATTGAAATGGTGAACCCAAGCTTATCATAGCAATGGAATGAACTATGAATCCTGTTGGGCTTTCCCTCTACTTGAGGGACTTGCTCTAATATTAGCCCACTAAGGCCTTGACCCATTTAATGGTCCATTTTAATACCCAAGTTAAATGTACAAATATAGACAAGCTGAAAAATGGGGTAGAAAAAAATTACATTCCAAAAAGGGCAAGTCCATTTTTTTTCTTTTACTGAAGCAGAGAGTTACGCGAGAGAGAAACTTACGGCATTTCAGTTCTTCTTACCGAATGATGGGGGCTC